GAGATGCTGTGTGTGGGTTGTGTGTGTGTGTGTGTGTGTGTGTGTGTGTGTGTGTGTGTGTGTAGAAATCAATGAACCCAGGCACATAAGCACGTAAGGCTCTAACTTCTCTATATGGGTTCTGTGTTGTTTTTTAACAGCTAATTTTTAGGAGAAAAGAGTAAACATATTAAAGTGTAAATCAGGGGCAGGTCCGGAGACTCCTACGGTAACGGGGCTGCTGTGGGCATCGCGGAGGTGAGCTCGGGGTGGCTGGGACCCGAGACACCCCGGGACCCGGAGGCGTTGAGGAAGAGAGCTGTCTCGGCTGCCGCCCCCTTCTGCCGCGAGGGGAGCCGGAGCCCCAATGTTGTGCCTCGGGAGAGGCAGGGGGCGGTCCCCCTCCCTTGGGACCTGCCCTCCGGCCGCCCGCCCCCCCTCCCCTGCGACCGTCGGGATCCCCTCTGCACCTCCGGGCACTCGAGGACCCGAGTTTCGCGCATCGCCATCCTGTTGAGACGGGTGGAGGGAGAATGGTGTATATGTACACCCAGCACGTGAGCTTGCAAGTCAGATACCTGAATACCTGTTATGGGTGAGCGGTGGCTGATTTTAAGAAAAGTAGGTTGTGTCGGCACTTGTGTTAAATGTGTCTTCACGAGGTTTTTAGAGAAAAGCGGGGAGGGGACTGGAATCAGAGACTAAGTAGGATTCGCTTGTCTTCCCCAGTTATTAATAGCCCTCTGATTATAGACGTTTGATTTTTTTTTTTTAAGAGGCTCAAGTGGAAGCTGCGGAATAGTTTTCCAGGCATAGTTTTGTGCATATCCTGTGCTGCGTCTAGATATGTAAAGTCAGGCACACATGTTGAAGGCGAAACAGTCAGCATTTTCTTCCCGGGCCTCTGAGCATGTTGCACTAGAATAAGAACGTTTCTGAGGTGACAGAAGCATTCTGGCAGAATTCCGGGAGGGGCCGAGACATTTGGTACAGAAAGAATGAACGATTCCTTTAGGTTCACATTGCAGCTGGAGGGCCACAAAAGAAGTGGTGGGAGGTAAGTTCTAAAGTGAGAGGAGTCTAAATCATAAACATCTTGTGTATCACAAAGCAAGTAGATGCCAGTGGAAACTGTGCCAATGATGTAATAATGCACTTGACACTAACATCTTGTATCTTTTGTTGGCAAAAAAAACACAAAAAACAAAACACAACAACAACACTAACATTCTGCTTAATTAATAGGTCCTTAAAGTACTTTAAATTTTTCTTGTTATATTGTTTTGATGTTATCTGCGTTTACCTAAAAGTCTAATAAATATCAGAAGTCTTTTAAAATACCAGGATGTCTTCTGTGGTCACCATGGATATATCCCAATTTTCTGTAACTGTTATTTTACATTAAAAATACCCTTGCTGAGGCCGGTTTGGCTCAGTGGATGGAGCGTCGGCCTTCGGACTGGGGGGTCCCGGGTTCGATTCCGGTCAGGGGCATGTACCTGGGTTGTGGGCGCATCCCCGGTGGGGGATGTGCAGGAGGCGGCTGATCGATGTTTCTCTCTCATCGATGTTTCTGACTCTCTATCTCTCTCCCTTCCTCTCTGTAAAAAATCAATAAAATATATTTTAAAAATACCCTATATAATAAAAGGCTAATATGCAAATTGTCCCCTTGACCGGGAGTTCTACAAGGGGCGGGGCTGGTGGGCCAACTGCCCACAGTCCCTCCCCCCAGCCGGCCAACCTCCCGTGGTCCCTCCCCCTGGCCGGCCAGTCCTGATTGGGACTGGGCAAGACAGCCCCGATCGCCAGCCAGGCCAAGGGACCTCACCCGTGCATGAATTCATGCACCGGGTCTCTAGTATATTTATAATGATCACCTTGAGGGATAGTGACACCCTGAATCATCTATAATAATAAAAGCATAATATGATAATTAGACCACATGTCCTTCTGGACGAAGTCAGGGCTGTGAAGAAAGCCCGGATGCCTGCTGGTGGCCTGAGGGAAGCCTGGGTCCTGGGTGCCAGAGGAAAGCCGGTGCCGGCAGCCGGGGGGAAGGAGGCCTACTCTTGGACGAATTTCATGCATCGGGCCTCTAGTCTAAAAATAATTCAGTTGTGTTCCCGTTATCAAGGGGGATAAAAGCATAATAATACTTTTTGGAAAAAAACTCAGCAAGCAAAAATTAAAACAAAAATATTTTGTTAGCCCTCAACCACAGCTTTCAATTACCCATAATACATGTATGCCTCAAGCATTCTATTAGGGTTTTATTCTGTATGAATTTAACATATTTTATTGTGATCATAATTATAATAGGCTGTTCACTTTGTCCCATCCAATGCCTTTGAATAATCTCTATTCTTAGTTTTTCTCCCCACACACTTAAGGATGCAGTAAATAATACCTGAACGTATATAACTGGGCCTGACCTGAAATTCATTTCTGATTTTCAGTTTCATACTGGAATTTCTTATTGGATTTGTGCCTCCAATTCATCAGTTTCTAAACCTTAGCAGTTCCCTTTCCTTTTCTTCAAACTTGAATTATTATGTAACTAGAGGCCCCGTGCACAAATTCATACACAGGTGGGGTTGGGCCAGCAGCAGGGAGGGGCCACAGGCAGTTGGCCAGCCAGCCCCACCCCTGATTGAGGTGTTGGGGGCCGATCGGGGCCCGGATCAGGCTGGTTGGCTGCCACAGTGCGTGTTTTAGCTACCGGTCGTTCCAGTCATTCTGGTCATTCCGCCATTCCGGTCGCTGGGCTTTTACATATATAGATAGCTTTATGAATGATTTCCTTAATTTCACTTTTTCTCTCAACTTTGCTCCTATAAACAACTTCCAAATTAATTTCCTTAAAACATTACTTTAGATACTGCGTTATTGCCCAGAAACTTTCAATGATTTACTACAACAGCCATATTATTTAAGTCATGCACCCAGTAATTCTCAGCCTGTTGTTACGTATTGCAGAAAGCCTGCATTCCAGTCAGACTGTTCTGTATCACCCTTAGCTCTTTCTCTTGCTGGAAAAGAACCTTCTTTCCTCTGCTTTCCCCTTCATAGCCTGTTCTCAGGCCTAGTCTAAGTCCCATCCTCACCAAGCCTTTCCCAAGCCCCTGGTGATAAAACCATATTTGAAACCAAGCATTCCCTATTCAGGATACATGGCTGGCTTCAGGAAGTGTTTGAACTCTTTGTAATTGTATTCAAAATGTTGTGTACATGTTTATTATGCTATTGGAGTCTGTAGCCTTCATCAGATTTTCAAAGAGGTGTGACCACCCCCCTCCCCAATTTAAAAATTACCTCTCTAAACTTCTGTGGCACTTTTCCAAGCCTTCATTTTTCTTTTTCTTTTTTAATATATTTTTATTGACTTCAGAGAGGAAGGGAGCGGGAGAGAGAGATAGAAACATCAATGATGAGAGAGTATCATTGATCACCTCCTGGGGATTGAGCCCGCAATCCAAGCATGTGCCCTTGACTGGAATCGAACCTGGGACATTCCAGTCCACAGTCCAATGCTCTATCCACCGAGCCAAACCAGCTGGGGCTAAGCTTTCATTTTTCATGTGTAATATCCTAAACCATTATCTTCTTTTGGTATTAGAATATGCTAATTGTCTTGTATTGGTATTTATCCTTTAGTATGTACATGCTGCCTTTCAACCAGGTTGTATGCACACTCAAGGATATGAGGGGCCTCATTCAAATTATTTTTTTAATGTTTTTATTGATTTCAGAGAGAGAAAGGGAGAGGAAGAGAGAGAGAGAGAAACATCAATGAGAGAGAATCATGGATAGGCTCCCTCCTGCATGTCCCCTACTGGGGATTGAGCCTACAACCTGGGCATGTGCCCTGACCAGGAATCCAACTGTGACTTCCTGGTTCATAGGTCGACACTCAACCATTGAATCACCCCAGCCAGACTCATTAAGATTCTTTTTTTTTTTTTTCAGTTGATCAGCAGCCTAGCCAGGTTCTAGCCAGGTTCTCTAGCCAGGTTCGGTCCTTAAAGATTCTTTATATCCTCAAATATTTGAGTGCTCAGGTGTGCCACTTGGTTCTAGCCTTTGGGAGGCATCAGTAAACAAAAATCCCTCACTTGTGGAGTTTATATTCTTGCAAGGAGAAGACAGAGGATGAACAATAAACACAAATCAGTAAACCAAATAGTGATTGTGCTAGGAAAAGAAGTAGAGCAGGATAAGAGGGTTGGGAATGTGTTGGGTAGGTTACAGTTTAAAATATGGTGATCAAGATAAGCCTCATTGAGAAGGTGACATTTCAGCAAAGACTTGAAAGAGGTGAGGGCGTGAGCCATGGCCTATCAGGGGAAAGTGCCAAGCATGCAGAGGACAAAGCCACGGCAGAGCCCACAGGGCACAAGTGTGTTTATGTAACCGGACAATCAATAGGTCCGTGCTGCCTGTCGCTACTTGAGCCAATTAAGCAGAGACAGGGTTGAGTCACATATAAGCGTTTATTCCAATACTGCCATCAGTATGGGAGAGCAGCAGGTCAGCCACAAAACATCTGCTCTGCAGGCCCCCATAAACCAGCTGCTTATATAGGGTAGGACAAGGATTACATGGGGAAGTAGGGATTACAGGCATAGGGAAGTAGGAAGCTGGATTGGTACTCCATTGTTTGTGCAACAAAGTTGGCAGTCTTTCCATAATAATAGGCAGTTCTTGAATGAAAATGGACTGCATTCCAAGGTTGACTCCCAGGTCCCGGGGGTCGGGCGTACAACTCCCAGCCAGGTTAGAATTTCCTTTCTTTAACCAGAACAAGGTAATCACAGTTAACAGAGCATAATTATATTTCCCAGAAACATAGCTAGTTCCCAATATTCTACTTTTGCTCCTAACACGAAATAGAACACAAGTCAGTCGGCCAGAGTGGCTAGAGCAGAGTGGGCAGGGAAGCCACTGCAGGCTTTAAAATCCATTTGCTGATTTGAAGGTAGACTGTGGGAAGCAAGAGTGGAAGGTCCCATTGGGAGGCTAGTGTAGTAATCCCGGCCAAAGGAAGTGGAGGCTTGGACTAGGGGTGGTCGCAGTCCAGACTGAGAGAGGTTAGAGTATCCTAGATGTATTCTGGAGTTAAAGCCAATGGGACTTCCCAGCAGATTAGATATGATTTATGGGAGAAATGGAGGAGTCAAGAATAAATCCAGCCCTAGCTGGTTTGGCTCAGTGGATAGAGCGTTGGCCTGCGGACTGAAGGGTCCCAGGTTCGATTCCGGCCAAGGGCACATCCCTGGGTTGCAGGCTCAATCCCCAGTAGGGGACCTGTTGGAGGCAGCCAATCAATGATTCTCATCATTGATGTTTCTCTCTCTCTCCCCTTCTCCCTTTCTCTCTGAAATCAATAAAAAAATATATTTTAAAAAGAAAAAAGAATAAATCCAGAGTAGGTTCAACAGCTGGAGAGTGGAAGTGTCATTAACTTAGATGAGAAGCCTGGAAGGAGCAAGTTTTGAAAGGAAGATTGGGAGTTCATCTTTTAACATGAGTAGGGGAGGTGGCTGTTAGGCACTTAGAGGAAACATCCAGGAGACCGTGACTAATCAAGGGCTACCTTAGACTGAGCTGCCAACATGTACTTGGCAGTCATGAGCTAAGAAATGGATTTAAAGCCTGGGTACCATCACCAAGGGAGTGAGTATGAGCAGTGGGACAATCCAGGAGGTTGGGGACTAAAGCATACCATTTTTTTTTTCAATGTAATACGTGTAGAGTATTCACTTTAGGTCAAACTTATTGTTTTTCAGATTCAGAGAATAATCCATTAGAAAAGCATGTTTGCCTGTTTGTTTTTATTTTATTTTTATTTTTTATTTATTTATTTATTTTTTAAATATA